TGAACATTGAAAAGATATCATTCCCGTAGCCATGCAACAAAACAGAATCAAGGCATTTAGCAAGAAGACCAAAGTGTACAGCGATCTCACTATTATTATGATGAACAATAATGAACATTGAAAAGATAATTTTCCCGTCAAAATTTGTTTGTGATTTACTTATTTTTYCCCTTCTTTTTAGGATAAATACTTTGGGTAATAACCTCAAGYGTGAAAGATCTTTCATTTTTGATCAGATTTTTCTTTTTTGATTTGCTTGAGCGATTTTCATCAGAGTAGCACATTAACTTTTTTCCCCTTTATATTCAGAACTATAATTTTTCGTATTTTAAAATGTTGTAAACTCAATAAATATATTTTTAGTTTTGAGGATCTTATTTTCTTCTTCTTAATTTCCTTATTTTTTTAGGGTATTGACGTTTAAAATAGTATTTTGTATATGGGTTTTGCAGTTTTCTGAATAAAAGAACATTAAGCCTTTACGTCGACTGTTTGCATTGATGCTTAGTCTGGTGTCGTAAAATTACCTTTTTCTTACTTTTTTATGTTTCTCATGTTTATTTATAGTATTCTAAATAATTTAGGAGCCCACTTAAAAATAAAGATCTTTGATAACATGGCGAACCATGTATATTAGTATCAAAATGTATGTAAAATGGGTTTACTTAAACCAGGATCAATGACATATTTCGACTAAACTAATTTATTTTAAAATTCAAAACGCTTTATTCAGTAGTTGTTCAATAAAAATGTCAAAAAGGTATTGAAAAATGGCTCGTTTACTTTCTAATTATATTAAAAGTGAAACTAAGCACTTTTATCTTCAAGGGAAAACATCTTGGCGAAAATATGTGTGCTTCTGTCGGGAAGCTGGAAGATGTGATTGSCCGATGTCATAGTAGGTAAAGCCAATCATCCAATCAGGGATAAGTAAGTTGTCAGGGTTCAAGTTGTGCGGAAAGGGAAAAATCCCTAATTGGTAATGCAGCAATGAAGAACGGTTTCTCAATCATTTTTTGGGGAGAGCCTTAGCGACTAAAAAATACTTTATATGCGTTGCTTACTTGGAAATAAATGATGATAAAAATAAAGTAATTAAATCTCAATCATCAAAGGTTTTTAAAACCTTTTTTTCCGTTCTTTGGTGCCCACAACACTTACACTAGCTTTGTAAAACGCAACCAATCACAATTTCGCGAGACAGAAAGTCTAARGTTCATCGACCTACAACTGTTAACTGATTGGCTAATAGAATAACATACGAGATAGTAATCCAATCAGGAGAAAGGTCCAATATTAAGTAAGGGAAAATTCCCTAATGYAAGTTAGTGCTACAAAGCACTTTTCCGAAAAAAGGGAAATAACCCTAAAGGCAAACATGGAATGTTATTAACATGTGACAATCAAAGCAATTAGCCAATCAAATAAGGCCTGATACGTCAACGGTAACAATTCGGGGGATACCGTATAAAAG